AGGACTGCACGCCATCTACGGAGAGTGCCGCCGCCTTTACCCCGACCAGCCGAACCCGCTCCAGGTCACAGCTATCGTCAAGTACTGGTACGCCCCGGGCCGCGGGAGACCCGAGCGGCGGGCTGGGGGAGTGTAAGCGCCCGGGGCGAAGTCATTTGCGGGGGAGAGGGCGGAGGAGGAGGAGGAGTAGGGGGAGGATGGTTAAAGCACTTGGAAGAAGGGCTTCCTGCTGGGAGGGAAGGAGTTAAGGCTCAAGTTAGGAATGGGGACAAAGGGGTTAAAGAAGACTGCGGGTAGCGAATGGCTAACGCGGGTGCGGAGGTGGAAGGGTTAACTGGGACTTGGAGAATGGAGTGAATGGGGGTGTGCGCAGGAGCCGAGGGGGATCGATAGGAGAGAGGGACTGTAAACGTGGTGGAAGGAGGGGGCGCCTGGAGGGGGTCAGTAGTGGGCGAGGGGAAGCTTTGTTGGGTGAGGAGGGGCGCAGGCTGTGAGCGTTGGGCTGGTGAAGCGAGGAGGAGGAGGAGGGGGGGGGCACCCTTTTGATACTCCTAGTGAGCTCAGACATCCTCTCGGTGCAGTGCTTTTGTGTTGGAAGTTCCACCAAACAACTTTTCCCGATAAACTTTGTGCTAACTCCGCACAGTTTCCTCTCGCTCTGCAGCTGCTTTCCTTTAAGACTTTGGCGAGGACAGAGGCAGGGCCAGGGAGGCCCAGGGTTTGGCTGAGGATCGAGGGGGACCGGAGCACGTACTGACAGTGTGGGCCCCGGACAGCGTGGAAGGGAGGCGGTGAGATGTGGAGGCGCTTCCTCGCCGCCAGCTTCAGGATGTAGCAGCCGTTTCCCAGGGAATCTCTTCAGCGTCTCTGTGGAGGATCAGACCTTTTACAGATGGGCTGGCCTGGGGGTAGGAATGGTCTGTTCTCCTTTCCCATTCCTGTTTCATCCTGCAGCCTCTGGGAACCGCGGGAAAGAAAGAAAGAAAGCCTACCTTCATGATCTTTCTGGACCACAAGTTGGCTGCGGGATGGGTTGAATATGTTCGGAACCACATTCTTGCAGGCACTGTGTTAAGATGGCCCCTTCAATGAGTCCCGAAAGACTGTTCAGGCAGCTGCTTGGGGTGTGGCCATAGGGTAGACCTGAAGGGGAAGTGAGGGGATGTCTTTTCTGGTTTCCTCTCCCTTTCGGTCGAGTCTCTCTCCTCCAGGACAATGTCTTTCTCCAGTAATGGCAGAAGGTAGGCTCCTCAGGACTGGAACCAGCTCCCTGTGTTGATGGGAGCATGTGAAGAGGCGGACAGCGTGGAGGACCAGCCACCTGCTCCTTAGGGGCTGCGCGGGGAGCAGCCAGGAGGTGTGGCCAGTGGTACAGTTCTCTCTGGCAAGCAGGCTGCTCTTTGGTTGAGACGAGTGTATGAAGAGAGCTTCCGAATGAAAAGCAGCTCTTGATAACTTAATCCCCATTCTAATTGCACCTCTATAGTTAAATGCAGATTGTGATGAACTCTACTGGATTGTGTCATGAGAAAAGTGGGCCTGGCTCTGCCATGCTGTTTGTTCAGGCCTCATTTGAGTGTAAAGAGAAATTGCTACACAGACTTGGGCAACTGTCTTTGTCTCCAAGTGGCCATGAAGGACAGAGTTGTGTGTAAAAGGTATGGAAGTGCAGGCAAAGGACAAAGACTAGTTTGGGCAACCTCCCCTCCCCCCTCGCTGCAAGCTTGTTAACCAGGCAGGACTTATTTTCAGAGATAGACTAAATTCTAATGACGAATAAAGGCAACTGTACAGAATTCTTTGCAATTAGAAATGCTTCCTAGATGCGGAAAAATATAAGAGGGGACAGCTTGGCAACTAGTTCTTTCTAGGTTTGGAGGATTTTGCATGATTAAGACCCTGAAATGAGTTCATCGATGTACCTCACATTTGGGATTCCACTAAGGCCTCTTCAGTTCTCGTAACAGGATGACTGACCGAGGCTGCCTGGGTCTGGCTGTGGCCCAGTGTACCTTGGGGTTCCTTTCCTGGCAACGGAAGGGTGGCTCTTGGCTAGTGGACCCTGGTCAGCAAGGACATTCTGAAAGCTGAGACTTAAGTGAGTAGGGATCAGAAGCAGAGAGGCAGAGCTTGTGCTCTGGGGCCACTCCAGCCCTGCAGCTGCCCTGGGGAGTGAAGTCAGGTGTTCAGGGAATTAAGTTGAAGGGTGCTGGGTCCTCGGATAACATCTTTTTCTAAGCACAAAACATGAAAATGTTCTACAGACTCATCTGCTTCCCATCAGGTTTCCGAGCAAGTAGAACAGAACTATCTGTGCTTGGGGATGAGGTTCATTTGGTCTGACTCTTGGTCATTCCCTGCAGTTGGAGTTTTAGGGTAAAGTCTCTCTCCTTGAGAGTACTTCCTGGGAGACTTGGCCAGAAAGAGGGTTGTGGTGGAGCGGCAGAGGAAGCATGGAATGGTGGATGCAGTTTTGCCACTTGCTGCTGGGTGGACCAAAGCTGAAGGAGGGGTAGGACTGGGGTTCTGCAGCAGGACAGGGGAGCACACGTGGAGCCTGTAGTCACTCCCATCTGCTCTTGGGCTGTGCACTATCCTAGGGTCCTTTCAGAGTTAGCGGCTCTTTTCTCTCCTCCCTCCCCAACAAGCTCCCCTAAATCCAGCTGGTTGTGGAAGTAGTCAAATGATTTTGGCAAAATCTGCGTTAAGGAAAGACAGGGAGATTCGTCCTTTTCCCTAATCCACTCATGAGATTCTAAGCTATTTGTAGCAACTTTCTTACAAGTTTTATAAATAACTTAGCATTCTTAGCAGAGAATAAGGATTTTTACAAGAGCAAATAATATCCTGGCAAAGAGGATGAAACCAGACCTACTGGTTTTAAATAGTGCTTTAATTGCATGGTGTTGGCATGCTTGCTGGGATCACACATAGCATGCTTTTTATTTGGTGGTTAGTGTTCCTTTAGCACATGAACCCAGTTGCAAAGCGCACTCCATCAGTGTCCCAGGAGCAGCAACGTTTTTGCAGTCTGTGGAACAGTCAGCTGTCCGAGGCTGCTCAAATGCAGAGTGTTTGTGGGCTAAATGCAGACTTCCTTCCACTGATGGTTTCCATTTATGTAGTCTGTTTCTCAAGTCTACCAGTTTCCCTATCCATTTTGAAGAAAAGCAGGATTTTTTTTTTTTAAAAAGAGCACTAATTGCTCTACTAAAGGGAACCCTTATTGAATTAAATCTTCAGAGTGAGGTAATGACTGAATCTCTTCCTTAACTGCCTTTCTGTTGGAATTATGTGGGAAGTTTGATGTGGTCCTCAGAGGCCCCAAATAATTTAATGTGCCAGTTCTACCTTTGAGATGGTAGTCTCCTAGGATCATCTTCCAGATCCTGGAGCTCACAGGGCTCAGCCTGGCTTCTGCTGCAGTTATCTTTATCTGTGCAGAGGTGAGCTAGCCCAAGTTTGGCCTTTGTCACTTGTATGATAAAAGACCAGCTTTGGGCCCTGGCCGGTGTGGCTCAGTTGATAGGAGCATTGTCCTGTACACCAAAAGGTTGTAGGTTCGATTCCCAGTCAGGGCACATGCCTAGGTTGCAGGTTCGATCCCTGGCCGGTCAGGGCATGTGCAGGAGGCAACTGATTGATGTCTCTCTCCCCTTCTTCCCCCTCTCTTCCTCTTAATCAATCAATAAAAAATGTCCTTGGGCAAGGATTAAAAAAAAATTCCCCAAACAACCAGCTTTATCTGTGGGGTGCAAGCATGGGTCTGGAGGCATTGGGTTTGTTTACAACAAACTGGAATTAACATAGGGCACAATATAGTCTGTCTCAGAGGCAAGAGTGGAGCTGAGCCTCTGCTTCCAGGAACAGTGCCCATTGCGGATGCTAAGGATGGACTTTCAACTGAGGCCAATTGGATTGACTGATGCACCTCTTGCCTTGAAGCATGACATATTTACAGGCACCATGAAGGAGAGAGAATCCCTGCCAATCCCATTTGGGATTGGTAATTTGAAACAGGAGGAAGCAAAAGGGGCAACCATCCAGTCTGTTTTATTTCTAAAAGAGGTCCTACCTGTTGGGGATAGGAGAAAGGCGTCTGTCGTGCTTCGGGAATTGGGCAACTTCTGGCCACCCATCCCATGGTCCTATCCCAGAGAGGTGTGGCCTCCGGTCCGTCATCGTTCACCCCAGGCTCCTTCAGTTTGGGGCCCTGTAGGTTTGTAAGACATCCCTTGGCTTCACACTGTCTGCTTTCAGGTTCACACTAACAACCCCGTGTTTTGTCTTTTGCAGGTTGGGTGGCCCAGACCCCTTGGATTATGTTAGCATGTACAGGAACGTGGGGAGCCCTTCTGCCAACATCCCCGAACACTGGCACTACATCAGCTTCGGCCTCAGCGACCTCTATGGTGACAGCAGAGTCCATGAGTGAGTGTGTGCCACTTGCCTACCCTTCACCTGCCTGTTCCTTAGCCTTGAAACTTTTCTCTGAGGTTTTCCTAAGTAGGGATGATGATGTCATAGTCCTGTGGGGTTGGTACTTCTCAGGTGGAACCTCTGAGTGTCTGTCCTCTGCCTGTATCTCCTTGTGCCAACGTGGTGCAGGAAAGTGTCGATGATGAGCAAGAGTTCTAAAACTATCAGGTTTTTCCAAGCTTGCTCTGGTGTTTGAGCTCAGAGGGCAGGCAGCATAGCTATGAATCAGAATTTGTGTTGATGCTTTTAAGTCTACTTCTTCTCTCCCCCGCTACCCCCCCACCCCCCCCGCTAGCTTATTATGAAAAATGTTTAACATAAAACAAAGTTGAAGAATTTCATAGCAAATACTCATATACCCGCTACCTAGATTCTACCATTAACATTTTACTCTACTTGCTTCATCATGAAAATAGCCATCTCTATAGCCATCTCTGTCCCTCCATCCATTTTACCTACTTCCTCTTTGAAACAGATTCATGGATTCTTATTTAATTTAGTGCTCAAAGCTGAGGTTAAGAAAGGTGAGCGTTCTACCTTCTAGCATAAGTGCTAAGAGGTGTTAAATTGGAATTATGGCAAGTGAATTTCTGGCAACATTCTTCTTCCATTGTCTTTTGTCTTCTCATTCAGTGAAAAAAGGCCAGAAGCATTGGTTCATTTATTTAGCATACATTCATCAAGCACCTATTTTGTAACAGATACAGAACATCATAATTCTTGTATTGAGTTCCTGTTCTCGAGGGGAAGGAAGCTTAAAGAGGTGGTTATAGTACTGAGTAATAAATGCTACAGTCCATGGATGTGGAACATGCTCTGGGAGCAGAGTGGAGTGAGTGACTGTTAATCAGCCTGTGGGATCAGAAGCTCCAGGAAGGAGGTGAAGTTTGAGAGGAATCTTGTAAGAAGGGGGCTGGGGTGAGACCTGCACCTGACACCTTAGGACACCAACATTCACTTTGAGGACTGAGAGAGGCTTTAAAAATCTTCTAACCCCATGTTTCCAAAACTTGTAGTGCTGCCTACATAATTTTTGCCACCTCTAGAATATTATCTGCTGTGTCTTCTCTGTAAACTAACCCTCCTTTTAAAAATTGATATAAATACATCTTTAAAAGTTAAATCACTATCATATATGGAAACCAATATCATTTGCTATCATTTAAAGGTAGTTATGGAAATAAACAGTAATAACAAAGCAATGTTATTAAATTCTAGCTTAATACCGTGGCCTGTCACAGAATATTCTAAGCCTGAAGCCACCATTCTCTTTGTTCAAGAGATTAGCAAGAAATATGAGAGAGGTATTAAAAAAATATGTTAAGCCCAGCCCGTGTGACTCAGAGGTGGAGCATTGACCTATGAACCAGGAGGTCATGGTTCAATTTCCGGTCAGGGCACATGCCTGGGTTACAGGCTCGATCCCCAATGTGGGGCGTTCAGGGGGCATCCGATCAATTATTATTCTCTCTCAGCATTGGTGTTTCTATCGTTCTATCCCTCTCCCTTCCTCCCTGAAATCAATAAAAATATATTTAAGGAAAAAAAGATATGCTAATACCAAATGGAACCTGGCACCAGACATGATTAGAAAAACTGAAAGAGAATTGAAAAGGGAACTTTTTTAAAAAGTATGATTCAGTGTTATTTATTGTCACAGAGAAATAGGAAACACTGACCTAGCCCACCTCCCTTAGTTGTACGGTTGAGGTAAGTCCAGCAGCCTGCCAAAGGCCATACAGCAAGTTAAGGAGGGTAGCAGGATCTCCTAACATCCCCACTGTTCTGTACTCTCTCTTATGATTGGGAAGAAAGGGGTGTATGGGGCATTTGTCTTTAAGATGAT